CACAGGGTGAGTATTGAGTTTTACAAGAATCTTCTGGGTCAGACATATGCATAATAGTTCACCAAAGGGTGGCATGTGAGGTCTCTCCAAGAGTCAGTAGTCAACTGGTTGTCAAAATCACTGAAATATATGTATGGCTAATATTTACGGAATTATATATCTATACTAAAAGTTATGTTCTTAAGCAAGAACATTTCTGGAGCAAGGCTGGTCACCAGGTGGTGACATACCACTCTCTGAAAGGAACATTTCCGAGGTGACAGACACCTATCTCCCTGTCTGGCCATTTATTTATTGTATCCTTCATAACGTAGGCCTGTTTGCATACGGAGCCACAGACAAGAGAAGAGAGTGCAAAATCTACAAGAGTGGTGAAACACAGCAGGGGCTGTCCTGTTTGTGACCAAAGAAAGGATTGTTAGGGTATATCTGGAGGATACAAAGAAACAAAGGATCCTTCACCTGGGAGGCAAGTGGACAGCATACTTGTCTCATGAAAAGACATCACAGCCAAACCTGAGTGAAAATCGTTGCAAGCTTGCAGAGGAGCTTGTTGGACCATTAATGTTGATTTTCAAAAAGTCTTGGAACACTGGGGAAGTTCCAGAAGACAAAGAAAGCTAATGTTGTGCCAGTATTTAAAAAGGGCAAATCAGGTGACCCGGGTAATTGTAGGCCTGTTAGTCTGACATCGATCCTGGGTAAGAAAATGGAACTTCTGATAAGGGACTTGAAGCAGGCGTCAACCGCTACATTTTGTTTAAAAAAATAAACCCCAAAACACACACATTGTATCTGCCCCAAATTTTCAGCACGATCTCTGAGCAAAGTTTGAATTTTCTGAGGATTTTCAAGGAAATCAGTTATTTCTGTTCTGTATTTGGAAAGAAGCAGGATGGAGTACTCATAATGAGGATGATGAATGAGGATGATGAACCACTGTGCACTCCATTACTGACTAAAGAGGACATTAAAACTACATTAATTATGGATACAAATTTTTATGTCAGCAGCCCTGCATAGCTTGCACTCAAGACTCCTTAGAATTGGCTCAGGAGATCTCTGATCCAGTGATAACTTTTTAAAAAAAAAGTTGGAATACCAGAATATTGGAAAAGTATTAATGTTGTGCCAATATTCAGAGAGAGAGAGAGAGAGAGAGAGAGGAGGATGACCTGAGTAATTATAAACATTAGTCTGACATCAATATGGTTTTATTGAAAGTCAGTCTTGTCCAACACACTTAATTTCACTTTTTGATGTGATTAGAGGTTTGGTTGATTAAAGGAACTACATAAATGTAATATACTTAATTTTGTAAGGCATTTGGCTTAATATCACACAATGTTCCGATTTAAAAAATTGGCGCTATAGAATATCATAGAAAACACATTAAATGGATTAAGAATGAATGTGGAATGAATAATTTTAAAAGAATAAAAGCTACCACAAAACAAATCTGTTGTCCTCCAGACAGCTCTATTAAGAAATAGATACTGGATAGATGTGAAAAAGCAATTGTCAATGGGGAAATCATCGTAGAATGAGGCTTTTGTAGTGGGGTTCCACAGGGATCAGTGTTAGCCCCAGCATTATTCAATGTTTTCATCAATGATCAAGAAGTAAATATAAAGTCACTGCTGACAAAATTTGCAGATGACACCAAATGAAGAGGACAGGTCGCTGATACAGCAATCTGGATCATTTGGTAAGCTGGGCCCATTCAAACAAAATGAATTTTAATACACCCAAATGCAAAGTTATAAATCTAGAAACAAAGTATGCAGGCCACACCTAGAAAATATGGGGGACGGGGGGGCATCCTGGAAAGCAGTGACCCTGAAAAGCATTAAGAAGTATACTGGACAAGCAACTAAGCATGAGGTCCCAGTGCAAAACTGTGGCAAAAACGGCTAATGCAATCCTTGGATGTATAAACAAAAGAGTAGAGAGGGCTGTAAACAAATGCCTTGCACTCTGAGATTTAAAGAGCTCAATCTGTCTAATTTATCAACAAGAAGACAGAGGTGATTTTATTACACTGTATAAATACCTTCACAGGAAGAAATACCAGGTACTTAACAGGCTCTAATCTAGTTGAGAAAGGCACAACAACTTTGACGCCAAGGCTGGAAATTAAAGTCCGACAAACTCATATTAGAAATAAGACACACATTTTTAGTAGTGAAGGCGATTAATGCTTGGAACAAACTTTTAAGGAAAGTGACAGTCTCCATCTCTTGATATCTTCAAATCAAGACTGGTTGCCTTTCTAGAAAACATGCTTTAGCCAAACATAAGTTACTGGGTGCTTTGGAGGGGGAAAATTCTATGTCCTGTGTTATACAGGTTCATATTAGATAATCTAATGGCCCTTTCTGTCTTTAAACATTCTTATGCACAATCATTAGCCAACAGACCGTATGGTTTATGTCGACCACTTCTGTTCTCTAGTGTGGTACATGGAAGGCTTTTTGAGATGAATACATCCACAGTAATGTTCCCTCCATTTGAAATAGAGGACTAATGTGGGGAATGGATTTGGCATTTCAGGGACATTTGTGTTGTAATCGGTAACATCTTTAAGAATGGAATGGTAATTTTGTGAAAGACCAAAGTTATCTGGAACCAAACAAAGAATTTCTTGAAGACCAGGGCCTGATCTCTGACACAGTAGCTGCCACTCTGTCTCATCCTATCTCTATCCTCAACAAAACATGTTGCTAACTAAACAATGACAATCACCAGATGTGTATTAGATCCCTAACCAAATTCTTTGACAGAATTACTGGCCTAATTGATGGGGGAAAGCAGAAGATGAGATGTACCTTGATTTTTAGTAAGGCTTCTGACACAGTCCCACATGACTTTCTCATAAGAAAATTAGGGAAATGTGGTCTAGTCTAGTTTAACTTATTAAAAGGTGGGTGCACAACTGGTTGAAAGATGGTACTTAAAGTCAGACTGAGAGGGCATATCTAGTGGGCAGTTCTGGGTCTGGTACAATTCAGTATTTTCATAAATGATTTTGATTTTGGAGAGGAGAATATGCTTATAATCTGCAGATGACACTAAAATGGGAGGGATTGCTAGCACGTTCGAGGACAGGATTAGAACTCAAAATTACCTTGACAAATTGGAGAATTGGTCTGAAATCAACAAGATGAAATTCAATAAACATAAGCACAAAATACTTCACTGAAGAGGATTTGGATCACAAATTGAATATGAGCAAACAACGTAAGTGTTTTGTGCAATTGCCTAATATTCTTGTGTGTATTAATAGAAATGTTGTATGTAAGACATAGGAAATAATTGTCCTGATCTATTAAGCACCGGTGAGGCCTCAGCTCTAGTATTATGTCCAATTCTGAGTGCCACACTTTAGGAAAGATGTGAACAAACTGGAGAATGTCCAAAGGAGAGCAACAAAAATGACAAACATCTTAGAAAACCTGACCTATGAGGAAAGATTTAAAAAATTGGACACATTTTGTGTTGAGAAAAGATGACGGGGAGGGCACACGATAAGTCTTCAAATATATGTTAAGGGGTGTTATAAAGAGGGCAGTTGTCCACTCAAGATAGGGCTAGAAGGAATGCAACCAGGGAGATTTGGCACATATTACAAAAAGCTATAGCAGTAGTTAAGCACAGCAGGAGGCTTCCAAGGGAGGTTGTGGAAGCCCCATCATTGGAGGTTTTTAAGAATCGGTTGGACAAACACCTCTCAGGGATGGTCGAGGTTTACTAGGTCCTGCTACAAAGCAGGGGGCTGGAGTTGACTTCCCAAAGTCCCTTCCAGCCCCAAATTTCTATTATTCTGAAGTTCCCAATACTTCATCTGTGTCAGGAAAGTGCTGTACAACCTCAACTCCTAGTAAAGTCAGTGGAAATTGAGGGTATTCACCTCCTCACTGAAGGTACTCAGCAACTCCTAGTCTTGCATGGTTAAATCCCTAAGTGCTAAACACCACCAAGACAAAATCTGAAGTTATTTTATTTACTTATAAAAAAAGATGATGGGACCTGACAATGGAGGAAAACTGAATAACTGGAGCACCTCCATTCAAAAAAAATATTCCAACAATCAATGTGGCAGTTTTTCACAGGCGCTGTGAAATAAGTGAAACAAAAGCTACTACAAGGGGTCCCTGGTATACATCTCCCCCTTATCTGTCGTTTCGCATATCCATCGCTCATCAATAGGGGAACGTGTTCCGATTTATGTCGGTCCTGATCTGCATATCCGTCGCCTCACTTTTTGCGTGACTTTTCTGTGGGTGCTTAGCACCCACCAGCAGCCAGCACCCCCTCTCCCCACCACAGAGCCTGTGGGCCATCAATCAACTCCTCCCACTCCCTCACAGTGCCTCCTGAACACTGGGGAACAGCTGTTTCATGGCATGCAAGAGGCGCTGGGCGGGGGGAAGAGGAGTTGATCCGTGGTCCACAGGGCCATCGGCAGACAGGAGGTGCTGGGGGTGTGCCGGCGGGTGCTAAGCACCCACAGAAAAGCCATGCAAAAGGTGAAGCTATGGATATGTAGATCTGGACCGACGTGACTCGGAACGTGTCCCCCTATTGATGAGCAATGGATAGGCGAAACAACAGATCAGGGGGAGACGTATACCAGGGACCCTTTGTATCCATTGCCCTTTTCAAGAACACAACCCCAACGTATACCAGGGACCCCCAATATAGGATTAGGTGAATCTTTGATCAAGTTAAGCTTCAAGTGAAAATGCTACCTGAATGCTTCAAAAAAGTTCATGGTTTATAATTAACCCTTTAAATTAAGAAAACTACGACTAAGTCAAATCTTCATGCAGAGAACATTTAACTCTAATCAATTTCAGTTTTAAAATCATTTCTCTCCAAATCAGTGCTAGAGTACAGTATCTACATAACCTCTGCTCTAAGTTTTTGTACTAACTTTTCCTATTCTCACCTCTCCCCCTCCCCCACCCCATCCCACCCACACCAAAAAAAAGTGTTCATTATGCTGCTCCCCTAATCCCTTTCAAGTCTTTGATGATATTCATAAAACCTAAAAACATCAATTCGGGAAAAAATATTTCATTTTATAAATTACTCTGCTAACTTATCTTGCCAAGCAATATAAACATGCTAAAGGAAAAATAAGCAAGCTGTTAAAGCAGTATCACTTATGAGACTGCAGTAATATATAAACAAAAAACCTTCCTTAAGCTTAAACCTATTTAATGAAGTTGCCACTAGATGGCTCCTTTGTATTACGTATTTCCCAATAACTCTGTTCCATAAAACAACAACAAATTTGAGTGATCCCCAGATGGGATACCCTACCACCACTCAAATATACATCAATTTGCATATACAAAAGCAACTTCTGGTAACTTCCCATGTTAAATTACCTGCTTTCTTCAGTAGGCCATTTATTAACGATTCCTTGTAAAGGACTATGTAAGCACACCTTAATTTTACTAAACTAACTGATTTCTACTTTAAGACATAACATGAAACTAATTCATTCATTCATTCAATTACAAATAGTATATGGGTATAGGCTTCCCGATTTGACCCCCTGCATGCTAGCTATTCTCCTATTTTGGGAACAGGTAACGTAAAATTGAAACAACTTCGGCACCACTGCAGAAGCCTTTTTCACTCTGGCAACTGCACCCACCTGCTTGTCTACACCCAGACTGCCTTGAGTTTTCCTGCAGCAAGACTTCAGAGCAGTGGGTGAAAGCAGGTCCAACATCTTAACCTCCTAGGACTATCTCATCCAAAAAAACAAATACAATAGAGGATGATCTCTACAATGTGCTATCCCTTTTGCTTTTCTTGAAGTCTAATATCATATACATATCAGTATAGAACATGCTGAAATAGTAATAACCCTTCTGCTGTTTGGACCAAGTATCCTGCCTTATACTGTTTAGGGTACTAAAAGATGTTCTAGCAACACTATGAACATGAACACTTGATCACATATTAAGATAAAAACAAGCAAGCCTGACTATTCACCTTAACTTTATCTTGAGTTAATACTGCCCCTCCTCTAATCTTTCCACATCTGCATTCTCTCCCCCTGACCACCACTTATATTTAAGGATATGATTTCATCAGAGGTCATGGATTCCATGACTTTAATGGGCCTCTGTAACTTCCTTGCCTTGAGCGGTCAGACCGCCCTGCAGTGGCAGGGCTCTAGGTTGTCAGCGTCCCTCCACCCTCACCCCAGGCAGCAAAGCTCTGCACTATCAGCGCATACACACACATCCCTACAAGCAGTGGGACTCAGGCTTCAGCCTCCCGCCCGGCAGTCAGTCCCACCATGGACAGGTGGTGGGCCTCCATGAATTTTTGTTTATTGCCTACAATCTGTCCGTGACTTTTGCCAAAAAATAACCGTGACCTCAAACTTAATCATATTTAATGCACCCACTCTGCCCCTACTGCTTCTGTGATCATCAAATCACCATTCATGACCTGCTATTATCACTTCCTTTCCTCACTTCTACTGACTAGTCAAATCCCTCCCCTTCAGTTTTGATTCCTTTGCCGCTCTCTCCCAAATGCCATCCCACCGATCTTGAACCTTCGTTTTGGTGCACCCCGAGTATTTGATTCCTCCTTTTCTGCACTGCTGAATGCTTCCTGAGAAGATTCCGTGAGTAAACAGGCTTCTTCCACTACACATCTTCTCTCTCCCTCTCCAGCTGTGTCATCTTTTCTCAAAAGCACAGTTTCCCTCCCACTCTTAATAAAAGCTATGCACATAATTTATGGATCTTCATCAACTCCTCCCCTTTGCCCCATACACCTAGACAGCCCAAATCTTGTCATTGCTTCCTCCACTAATTCTTTATACCAACCTTTTCTTTCAGTTCAAACAAACCTCTTGTCCATGCTTTTATTGTTCTCCTTCTTCATTACTGTATCCACCCACGCTGATTCCCACATCACCACCCTATAATCCACCCAAAGTGGATAGCTAAGAACATACACTTTTGCCAACTGATCTGATGTGAATAATGCCCCACAGTCCTTCGAATCTTGTCTTTCTTATTTCACTACTCTACCTCAACTACAATGCCAGCTCCGATATCCAATTCATCCAGTTGCCACACAAAACCATTTCCCTACTTTCTTCCACATTGTTCCTGGCTACACAGAACCTCGCTGAGCATCTCTATAAAGCCACTCCCCTATCCTAATTCAAGTCCCTTCTTAGGGGCCCATTTCATCCATGAAGTTGACAAGAAATTAGCCAATGAGACTTGTAGGTGTTTTTATTCCTCACACACACACACACACACACACACACACACAAATCTTCACTATGCAGTACACTGGTTCTTGTGAGCAGCCACGTTATCTTACTGATGCTACCCCTTTTCTTCTCTATCAACTCCATCTTACTACGCCCCTTGTTATACTCTCTCTAATATTGCATGTCATCTTCCCAGGGCAGGGTTCATGTCTGATGTGTATTGCAAGGCACCTAGTACATTTTAAGTTGCTGTAATAAATAATCTTATGACTTTAATGTAAACTGTTAACCAATTTATTATTTCAGAAAAGGAATCTTGTCCCACCTTGTACTCAGCCCATCGTATAATGTGGTACATTTTGGGACTGTTGCCTTCCCTCTGAACCATTAGGTATGGGCCATTGAGAAATATATCTCAGGGAGGCTATTCAAATGAACAAAATTTGAGGTAAATAAATATTGATCTAAGCCTCTCGCTGATTAGGTTATCCCTATGACCAAATGGGGGAGTGCTGCAGCACCTTGTCAGTTTAGGGTGGTGGTTCATTCGTTATTGTATATTCTGTACTTGTTCCATGCACAAGACTGACTCCTTTCAGCACCAAAGGCAAGGATGTTCCTTGCTGTGTGTGCCTGTGCCAAGGGAGTAATGGGGTGGTACTCTCCTCTGCAGGCTGCATGTCCAGTGTATCCTAGCACAGATGAGAACACAGTCTCCATATGGCTATTACTTCCTTTCTGGCACTGATTGGCAGGAAATAGGTGGTCAGAGACTGAGCACAGGCATGGCTCCACTCCATAACATGCTAGCCAATGCAGCTGAGCGGGGGCGGGGGGGGGGGGTGGAAAGAGGATGAAGGAAGTAATCTGCTCCACTAGTAGAGGAAAAAGAGAGCCAAGGAGATTCACAGTTCCTTCCCTAGTCTGCTCCTGAGGCACCACAGCAACACACCAAACACACAAAATACCAATTTGAGATAGTGTCCTTTTAACTCTCTTTAAACAAAGCGTGCTGTTCTCCAGAGATCTGTATTGGAATGTGCCAGTCTTCAGAGAGCTGCACATGTACAGTAAACTCAATGCTGACCCAAACTCTTGATGTTATGTTCAGTCACTTGCTTTGGGCCCAATCAAATCTTTTGCATTCCCAAAAATCCCTCTGTAATCAATGGGAGTTACAGGTGAGCAAGGAAAGCCGATTAGGCCCCCTTAATCTGCATGCCAAATTCTTCTCACAGATCAAAACCACTTATTTTAAGGAAGGAAAAAGAAAATATGAGAAATAAGGGGGAAGGGAATAGACAACAGTAAGTGCCAAAGGGAAAATTAAATTAAGCAGGAATGAGATGTTGCTCTGGTTTCTAAAATGTTAATATTTGCAATTAAATAAAGGGGGAGCAAAAAAATTACACACAGAAGGCTGGAAAAAATGGAAACCAGCAGGGGAAAAAAAAAAACAGAAAAAAGGTTTTTTCCTCTAATTTAAGTGCAGTGTAAAAATTTTTACATATACATTTATTTTCTTGAATCTCTCTAAACTATGTTCAACAGGTCTTATTTTAGAGGGAACGAAAAATGAGAATGGCAGAATACTGGAGCTGATGAGAAGACAAATTAATGCTGTTAAAATTCTGACGGGCATGTAGTTAGGTTCATAGGCAGCTATTTTTTCTAAAAGTTACATGCCACATTTGTGGGTAAGTTTTAGCTTATTTCAATCCCAGCCAATGTTATGCACTAGATTTATATCCTGACCTCTCCAAGTGCTGGCTTGCTTTCACCACAACAAACTGATCAGAAGCCAAAAAGAAGTTATTACTTGCCCACAATATATAGAGAAAATGGTTTGTATACAGAATCAGGCTCCAGTCCTGCATTGTGATTTGTGCAGGTGGACCACTGTACCTCTGTGGAGTGCTACTGAAGTCAACAGGACTGCACCTGTGTGGATCATAATGAAGGATCATGGCCTTAGCATTAAAAAACTAAGCCAGTTGGTTTCTCACAAAGTACTCATATGAGAGCTACAGTATTACAGTTATCCATGAAGTTTATACAGTACACTTCATAGCATAGCCACTATTACTTACATCAGGGGTTCTCAAACTGAGGGTCGTGACCCCTGAGGGGGTCGCGAGGTTATGTGGGGGGGGGGGTCATGAGGTCAGCCTCCACCCACAAACCCCACTTCTCCTCCAACATTTATAATAGAGGTAAATATAAAAATGTATAAGGAGGATCGCACTCAGAGGCTTGCTGTATGAAAGGGGTCACCAATGCAAAAGTTTGAGAACCACTGCCTTACATAATACACTGCTTTTCAAGTTAAAAAAAAGTTAGGGGTGATCGAATACATCGCCTCTTGTGCTTAATGGACTTCTGCTCCAATGCCGTGTGAAGACCAATAAAAACACTTGCACTGTCACACACTTAATTTTTAAGTCAGAGATCTTAAATAGCCATTACAACGCAGACCCATTATATTACTGATGAATGATAAATAAGGAATACTACAAAAAATGAAAATGCATACCTCCTCTATTTCCATTTTCTTCATCCTGTCAAACAAAAACAATACACAATTAAAATGTAAAATTTACCAAATGGAAGAAAACACGTACGGACAAGGTTTTCAAAAATGGGTGCCTCGTTAGGCTCGTAAACCCATACTTAGGCACCTAAATAAGTGGTCTGATGTTCATGGGAGAGGCTGGATGTTTAGTACTTTTTAAAATTAGGCATTAATTACTGAAAAGCTTGGCAAGGTGTATATTTAAACAAACAAATCTCATCTTGCTTCCTTGATATGTCACACAGCAGCAGTTCAATGGCATTATTTGATTCAAGAAAAATATAATAAAATGCAAAGCTGTACCGCATACGTGCAATTAATCTAAAATTGAACGGAGAGGTTCCACATTTTTTGTCTATCAATGACTCATAAAATTGGTTCACTTTATAAGTCTGAAGTATTTTCTAATGGCAAATCCTGCAAACTCCTCCTGAAATGTAAACATCAAGCTTTGTCTGTCTGTAATATGATCAGTAAGTTTCTACACTTAGAATAGCTTAGGTGACAAATTTGTTGATGATGCTCCTTCTCTGATAGTTGCATTGACTTTTCAATATTAACAACTAAAAACTGAGTTGTGTCAGTGAAGTATGCAGCTATAACTTGAAAATACTCAGGAAGGAGAAGCTGAATAAGCAGTTGCCGTTTTTACATAGTCAATTTTCTGTCCAGAACTCGTTATAAAGTCAATATGGAGATTCAGTAGCAACTCCACAGTTAAGGTCAACTTCCTATTCCATATTAAGGCTGATTTTATCTGCTCCCTGACTTCATCAAAATTCTACCAATTTGGAAACTGACATGGCCTTACAAAGTAGAACCTTTTCTGGAAAATGTAAGGCAAAAAGACATTAAGAAATACGAGGGGTCTCTTCCCAGCTGCCAAAAAAAAGAACCACCACCATTCCAACCCCTTCAAAAGTCTACTAAATTTTTTTTTTTTTTTTTTTTTTAAGCAGATTGGCTTAGGAATTTATTTGGCTTGGCTGACATGGCCTCATTCAGAATGAGGTGAACTAGTGAAGGCAAAGCTAAAAGTTATTTGGTATTCTTACCTGTGTAATCTGTTTAAGTGAAGCCCTAGTTCCAAATTTCCAGGCTGCTTCCATTAAAACCACAAAAAAAATCTACATCTTTCTCCTATTAATTTTGTTTTCCTGTAATGACAGCTTTTCATCCCAACCTTTAATCCAGGTTAATGATTTTTTTTGCCTAAAAGTTTATAATATGTGGTACAATATAAATCAGGGAAAGGTCCCTCTAACTACAACACGTCTCATTGTGATACAGCAATTCAGTATAGTCTGCATCACAATACATTGTCATTACAGCACAGAAGTTACCAATGAGTCTGCTGAAGCTTTAAAAACCTCAACACAAAAAATTAACTTTAAAAAGGATTGAGCTAGTAAGGATCACATGTCTCTCTCTAAAAAGCATATATACTGCACTATAACAATTGTATCAATCAGGTGAATTTTGAGGATAGCCAATTGTATACCTTTGCATTTTTGTACAATACTGACTGTTCAGTACTTCAGTAAAAACACTGTCCCAGAGAACAACAACTAGTGTTAAGAGTCATTATTACCGCACTTGCTTCCTGTAACAGTTCAACATGTTTTGAACTATGATCACCCAACAGGATTGCAGCATAGAATTACATAAATGGCAAACATCTGTATTTATCTAGTTTCTACCCAATTCATTGAACAAAAGGAAAAAAAATGTTTTCGACTTTAAAATATTTGGATTCTCATTTTCCAATGCTATAAAAGATATAAACTATAAAACTATGAGAGGGACCAGTTTAATATATGATATAGTAAACACAATACTGGAAGATTTCCAGTTCTTCACAAATTGATACCAATTTTACAATTGGTAATCTGTCATCTGGCATGCACAGCTCAGTCATAAAACAGATGCAAAAGAGTAATATTAAATGGATTTTGTATGATATCAAGGCAATGATCTCAATCCTTAAAAAAAATTTTTTTACATGGAGCGCTTGATAATGCAAGTGCTTCTGAATTTTAAAAGCATTTTTACATTCACCTCACATACATGCTGCAAAACTTTTTAGCATGTACTGTTTCAGTTGTATTACATCACTCATAACAATACAAACATGCAGAAAGTACTACACTTATAAAAGTAAGTTTCTGTTGCTACTTAGCACTAGTAACAATGAAACAGATAATGTTCACTATACTCTTCTCTGCTTCATCACGTTGCCCCTTGGCACCTTTACAATGATACCAGCCTTGCCTGCCCATTTGTCAGCTTCTTACATCTCCTCTCACATTGCCCCTTAGCACATGGAATGCCCTTGTTGAACTGATCCATAAGGCTATCATACACTTCAATATCCTTCCTCACGACCAGCCATTGTCATGATGCAAATAAGAAATCAGCCAATAAATAAAGGCTAGTTGGGAAGCAGATGAGGACAGTTGATGCCCAATCTCTCCAATAATATATTATGGAGAGAGAAGTATATAAAATTTTGTGTGGGATTGATCCCTCTCGCACTTGTTTTACAGGTCACCTGCCTTCTCAGATAAAAAGCTCTTTTGGAAAAGGACCATGTCTTTATGTGTATTTGTATAGCACTAATAAAATAGGACCCTGATCCTGACTGGGGCCTCTAGTATAACCTTTATTTTTATTTATATATATAAATAAAATGACAATACTACTTTATAAATACTACTGATCCATTACTGTTCAATAAAATGAAATGAAAATAGAGACAGTGTAGTGAATTGTAGTTAATAAATGTGGCTACTTATGACTGATAACAGTAGCCAAGATTGCTTCCCCACCTCCTCCTCCCCCACCACCACATTTTCAGCTAACTAGAAAGCTGTAACAGATCTTTGTGGGTGCAGACCTTTGCCAAAGCGACCTATGCGTTCATCACCTTTTCACTAAATTACCACTCTGTGTTCTCCTTGGAGCTACACTTCTCATTTATTGAAACCCAAACTAATATAGTTGCCAGCTTATTTCATATGTTCCACAGTCTGCAAGGGTTCACATTTGGTTTGCACATCTTTCTCCATTTATTGGCTATGTGCTAGGACAAAAGAGCCTTTGTCACAGTTATTACTAAGCAGTACTGTTTTTTTATACTGTAACTAAGAGACACTCTACTTGGTTGGCATTGACTATCAGCTTAATGCAGTGTTTCTCAACCTTGGAGCCATGACGCCCAGGGGGGCGCCTCGGTCAGCTTATGCCCCCTACCTTTTCAAGCCTTGGGGGAGCGGTCACGATTTTTTCTTCGTAAGTCCAGAGGAGGTCACCAGCACAAAAAGTTTGAGAAACACTGCCTTAATCTAACCACGGCCCTCTGTGCTCTCTGGCAAGCCCAACTCATATCTGGTGCCTAGTTTCCCCAATTCTGTTAAGACTTCACTTCAGTTTCTTCAGTGTTCAGATGTTTGAATTTGGTGCCCTGCAACTGCTGGATCGCAGCAGAGTGGGTCTAAACAAAATGGGCTTATCTGACTTGATGATAAACACCCAGCACACATTACTAGGTGCACTACTTAGGAAGTGCCTAACTCCCCAAATCTATTACCAATAGAAAATGTCACAATATCACCCTGCCTTTCAGTTCTCCTTACTGCACAACTTGGTTTTCCCCAACAGTTTATGAAAGCAGCTACTACAGAGTTGTCCAATCTTATCAGGCCATGCTGACTTGTTGGAAGGTTTGGGGATATCAGGACATGTCTAACTGCTTTGAGTTCTAGCAAGTCAATGTGAAACCCCTCCTCTCCCAGGAAACAGCAACTCCTGCACAAATCTAGAAGGGAAGTAGGTGCTCACCAGTTCAGGTTGCAACTAGTGATAATGGAAAGTTTGAGGAGCACCTACAGAAGGGAATAATTTAGGGAACTGGATCAGTGTAGCTACCAGGTTAGTGAAGTCTTTATTGCCAAGGGAACCCCAGTTTGCTTTCAGCACTCCCCCAAGGGTCTGAAGAAGGAATAAGGAACTGACAGGATTTAACAGAAACAGAGCAGGGAAACAGAGCGTGACAAGACATGCAGCCCCTAGTACCTCTCTATTTGCAGGTCAGGTAGGATCAAAATTTCCACTTCCAGCTTTTCAATCCTTTCTGTGGATGTTCGTGTTTTTGCCTCCTTCTTGTCTATGACTGCAATCAAAAGAATCAGCCTCTGGGACTGGGATTGTGAGCTCCTATGCAGGCTTAACACAAGTCCCAGGGTTTTGAACATGACCTGAGGCGATCTGGATACTGCTTGTTATTACTATTTATTTGTATTACGATGGCATCTAGGAGCTGCACTCATGGACAAGAACCCAACTGTGACAGACATAGTACAAACAGAACAAAGAAATGGTCCTGGCCCCGAGGGGCCTGGATGGTCTTTTGGAGGGACTGGGCTTGAATGACTCAGTTATCCAGGTATGGGATCATAAAGAAGCCTTCCAGTGTGAGAGCAGCTGAAATTACCACCTTGATCTCAGTGAGAGTTTAGGCAGGGGATGTTGATAAACTGGACTGGCAGAGGGATATTTTGGAAGTGAAAGTGACCCATTAAGAACCTTATAAATCTCTAGTGGGGTAGGGAGACACAGATGTCTATGAGAAGTCTTGGGTCTCCAGAAAAGACAAGATGTATGAGATTTTAAAGACTTATTCCTCTTCCTTCTGCCACTTCAACAAAACCAGAATAGAAGAGGAAACCATTATACTGTCTCCTACTCTGAGTCCTGAGCCATATCATTTAGGCTGTTGACAGCCAAAAGCCAGCATGAGAGATTCTTTCAGACCAATTTGTGGAGTTTGTCTGACTGAACTTCAGTCAACAACTGAATGGCCACCATGAATGAAGAAGATGAGCAGGCAGCCATAAGTATGTAAGTACCCCCTAATCCCATAATTTCCTGTTTAAAGCAAGTCATAATGGAATGGAGAAACCATTTCCATCATTTCAGAGACAGAAAAGGATTAACGAAGATGAGTGCCTAACAGCCCCCTTGCAGGAACATAGGGATCCTAGCATCTCAACTCAGGCCTCAAACTCCACTGAAATAATATTTAGAGTCTGAGATGTGAGATGCCAGAATGGCTCATTCCACTGGGGACACTCTCCTTTGACTCTCCGAAAAGCTGTCGGAAGCAAAGGCAGCAGGAGATGAAGACATACCACTATAGTGGGACAGATCTACTTTTATCCACTTCCCCTTCCTCTGGGATGTCCCTGGAAGCATATGTTTAAGAAGCCACAGAGAACCCAAAAGAGCCTCTGGAGAAGACTGGGGGGGCTGGATAAATGAAGAGAAGTGACCTGCTGAGGTTTCTTGTTGGAGCCTACAAGAAATGGTCTCTGTCAGGAGGAAACAACAAGGCTGCATAAACGTTGTTCAGCACGGCCAAAACTTCCTCACTCCCTTCTACCTCTGCTTCAAACTGGAATCCATCCAGAGAAATCTCTTGGCTGACCCCCTGCTGATCATTCTGTGCTGCAGAACAGGGAAACATGTTATGATCACCTGATTCCTGCTAGCTAGCAATTTCTGCTTCTGGCTGGCTTCAACAAGTCTGTCAGTGGAAGAGCTCAGGCACACAATGCAAGCCACAACAGACTGCTAAAGTGAGTTGGAGCAAGAGTGGCAAAGCTCTCCTGCCCAGTTTCTTCTACTCCATAAGGAGTCTGGTAGCCACCCAAGGCACGCTGATACAAAAGAAAGCTTCAGCCAGGAAAATCCAGCTACCTTTGTACAGGGAAGCAGGCAACAACTGGGGAGCAGAGCCAAACAGAGAACTGGGAGCCAAAACTTTTTTGTTCTTGACTGGCTCCTTGCGTGACAGACAGGGCCAGGAAGATCACCCAATGGTTGCATGCACTATGTGAAACCATATCCTTGGAAGATTACCAAAATTATTATTTTATGAATAAAGTAATGCTAACTAGATCACCAAAATTGTCTCACTGTTTTCTATCAACATAAACCATGCTCTTTTTTACCCATTGAATACAACTGAATACTTAGAACGTAGACAGTAATTCAGGTCATTTGAAACAGACCAACCTACTACATAGGTTCTTACTTCATAGTTGTCTTAAAGAAAGGAGGAAACTTATGATGAGCTTTTGTTTCTGTATACTGTAAAACTGACAGACTTTTTCCAGAATATGCAAATACATATCTTTTGTCTCTCCTGGCTAACTGGGAACAGAAAGGCTCTAGCCCTTTTCAGTAGATAACATATAAATACAAGAATCATGAAAACTGTCTTTGCAGCACACATTAACTTCAGATGTAAACAATGAAAGGTGGAGCAGATTTCCTACCTTGTATTGTTTACTTTTTTCCAGGTTGTTCTCTAAATGTGACATTGTGATACAGACACTTTTGATTAAACTGTATTTTTTTTTAAATCGGATCAGACAGATGTGTCAATAGTTTTAGGTCAAAAATTTGCCAAGCTTAGCAGCAATACATTCAAGTTTTACAGTAACAAAGTATTACTGCACTTATTCCTAGTTACCAAATAAAATGTTATTAAAACAGAAGCTTTTTTAAAATAAAAGTATATTTAAATTATCCTTTTCATATAATTATTTTCAGTTTCTGTCAAGTCAATTCAAAAAAAGTCTCAGGCCCACACTGATGGGCTGTAGTACTTTGCAAGGGAAAGAAGTAAAAACAGGAGGAAGACTTTCGTCTGTGACCTAAGCGAGAAGAGTAGTGCAACAATTTAATCTAAGGAGTATACACTTTGTGAGAATAAAGCAGATCAAGAAGTTTGTACTGAAGAAGACCGCAAATAAGCCTGACATTTATTAGTATGCATGAAGGTATTTCACCTCAGTGTAAGATTTACACTCACGGAAACAGGAAAGATTTCATTATCTTAAAAGGAGATTATTATTTTGACATGGATCATTTTTTCTAATTACTACACACTCCTAAGGAGTAAAAAAAAACCCATAAAGCATAATAATGCTGTGTTTCTGAAACATAGAGGTGTTTTGAAAAATATCCCTCATCATTCATTTCACTTACTTTAAAAGAAAAGTGAACAGCAGACTCGGGAGGGTAAACAATGAAGTGTCTTAAGGTAAAACCAAAACCCTGAGACGTCCTCCTTAACACAACTGTTTTTGGACCAGGCCAAGAGAATGTTTCTTCTTCCTCCGATGGCGATACAACTTCACTCTGCTCATTTCCATCTTTATGTTTTGACACCTAAAATAGATTAGAAAAAAGTGCTATATTAAAAAAATATAGAATTTGCAATTTTTTTTTAAGAGACAATCCATCTTCAAGAAAAAATGTACAAGTCAAAATACACACACAGGATCATTATATCATCAAGCTGTAAGTTTGCCTAATACACTAAGACTTGTTCCAGCAAAGATTAAATCTCAGGTTATATTCTGAATATAATTATTTTTAAATTGTAAGTGAAGCTGTATGTATCTCAGAAAGTCAACGTACAAAAATATATCAAGCGCTAGAGTTTAATAGTGTACTGAACTAATCTAGGGAGATCCATACAGATTGCAAATCTTGTCTGACTCAATTTACTCATGTACAAACACTAAGCTTCTTCCTGGGTGTCTGCTAGGATTCCATTTCAGATATTTACACAGCACAAACACATACCTATACTGTACATACACTATTCTGTCCTGGCCTGTAATTCACATAAGAATGGCCTAACTGGGTCAGACCAATGGTATCCTCTGAGAGTGGCCAGTGCCAGATGCTTCAGAGGCAATGAACTGAATAGGGCAATTTATTGAGTGATCCATCCCATCGTTCAGTCCCAGTTTCTAGCAATCAGAGGCTTAGGGAAACCCAAAGCATGCAGTTGTCCCCCTGACCATCTTGGTTAATAGTCTTTGAGGCACCTAACCTCCATGAACTTATCTAATTTTTTTTTTTTTTTTAAAACCAACCTATATTTTTGGCCTTCACAATGAGTTCCACAGGTTGGCTGTGCATTGTGTGAAGAAGTATTTCTTTTTATTTGTTTTAAACTACTGCCTATTAATTTCATTGGGTGACCCCTGGTTATTGGGTTATGTAAAGGAGTAAATAATACTTCCCTATTCACTCTCTCCACATCATTTGTGATTTTATAGACCCCTAATATCTCCCTCCCCCGGTCGTCTCTTTTCTAAGTTGACTAGTCCAAGTCTCTAATCTTTCCTTGTATGGAAGTTGTTCCATAACCCCAAATCATTTTTGGTGCCCTTCTCTGTACCTTTCCCAATTCTAATATATCTTTTTGAGATGGAGTGACTAGAACTGCATGCAGTATTCAAGGTGTGGCGTACCAAGGACTTATATAGCAGCAGCATATTTTCTGTCTTACTAACTATCCCTTTCCTAATGGTTCCTAACATTGTTAGCTTTGTGCACGTCCACTGCACATTGGGCATATGTTTTCCGAGAACCATCTGCAATAACTCCAAGATCTCTTCTTTGAGTGATAACAGCTAATTTAGACCCCACGATTTTATATGTATATTTGGAATTCTGTTTTCCAATGTGCATTATTCTGCATTTATCAATAATGAATTTCAACTGCCATTTTGTTCCTCGGTCACCCAATTTTGTGAGATCCCTTTGTCACTTTTCACAGTCAGCTTTGGGCTTAACTATGGCCTGGTCTACACTAACCCCCAATTCGAACTAAGGTACGCAACTTCAGCTACGTGAATAACGTAGCTGAAGTCGACGTACCTTAGTTCGAACTTACCGCGGTCCAGACGCGGCAGGCAGGCTCCCCCGTCGACTCCGCGTACTCCTCGCGCCGAGCAGGATTACCGGAGTCGACGGCGAGCACTTCTGGGTTCGATTTATCGCGTCCAGACAAGACGCAATAAATCAAACCCAGAAGTTCGATTGCCTGCCGCCGAACCAGCGTGTAAGTATAGACAAGCCCTATGTAATTTTATATTGTCTGCAAACTATGCCACCTCACTGATGCCTTTTTTCCAGACCATTTATGACTATGTTGAACAGCACTGGTTCCAGTACAGATCCTTGGGGAACCCCGCTATTTACCCCTCTGCACTGTGAAAACTGACCATTTATTCTTACCTTGTATCTCCCATCTTTTAACCAGTTACTGATTCATGAGAGGACCTACCCTCTTATCCCATGACTACTTGGCTTTGCTTAAAAACCTTTGATGAGGGACCTTGTCAAAGGCTTTCTGAAAGTCCAAGTGCAGTATATCCACTGGATCACCCTTGTCCACATGCTTGTTGATCCCCTCAAAGATTTCTAATAGATTGAGGCGGCATTATTTCCATTTACAAAAGCCATGTTGACTCTTACTCAGCATATTGTTTGCATCTTTCTGTCTGATAATTCTGTTCTTTACTATATAGTGTGCTCAGAACTGGTATTCTGAGAGCAGCAGCTGCTGAACCTGATCAATTTTTACTTTTTAACCTCTTTACTTCCCTCCAACAATCACCTTCCATCTGACAAAACTGACAAATGTAGTAAAGGCCCATCCATAACTGGTTCACGAGTTAAGTGTTCTGTCCTTCAAAAGGAACTATACAAGGTCTAGACAAAAAGCAAATCCAACTTCTACTTTACACAACGTTTAGAGCAATGTGACAACAGAAATGAGAAAGGCATTTCATTTGTTAGGCTTCTTGATATAGAGGTTTAATCCTTTGCTATTCAAGAAAATACTGACTCAACCTCTTTGTTTTTGAGTTCGTTCCTAGAGAGTGACTCACCCCCCAGATGTTTCAGTATGCCAATGTCACCCAAAATTATACAAGTAGCAAAGTCAAAATTCCATCTTGTTACACACCATTCCCCCAAGCATAAACAAAAGCATGTATTTAAGAATAACCCAAATATTTATGTAGATTTCATATAACTAGCACAAATTATAAAGTTTAAATAAATTGTATCTCTTATCCCTTCATCCAGCTGCGTATTCAGGCAGTGTGATTTTCCAAGCCAATGCCACTTCATGCTTATTTACCTCAAAGCTAAAGACAAAATAGGTTAAAAAAAAAAAAAAAAAGTAGTGTGTGAAAACCTGTGAGGCCCTCCAAATCGACTCCAGTGTTCTGTATCTGCTTTGGGTATTTGACCTGGTAATCACTCAGATGTTTTTTCAATTAGCATGAACAGTCCCACAGCTTTAGTTGAAAAAATGGTTACCTGCCTTTTGTAAAAAGATGTGTTGCTCATGTCCATTCCATTCTAGGTGTGCGCACACGTGCGGTCAGAGATTTTTGCCTTAGCGGTATCCATAGAATTAGCAGTGGTGCCCCCTCAAGTGCCGCACTCATGCGCCGATATATCAGGCACTGCCAACCCTACACCCTCTCAGTTCTTTCTTGCTGGCAACCCTGACAGAGGGGCATGAGGGCGAGTAATGGAATGGACATGAGCAACACATCTCAAAGAACAAGTTACGAAAGGTAGGTAACCGTTTTTTCTTCGAGTGCTTCCTCATGTCAATTCCATTCTAGGTGACTCACAAACAGTTTTCATGGATGTGGGCTCGGAGTTCATGGTCATGCAGCTTGCAATATTGCTCTACCAAAGCCAACATTGTCTCGGGCCTGCTGGGTAAGTGCATAATGCAATGTAAATGTGTGGACAGACGATGAGGTGGCCGCTCTACGGATCTCTTGGATTGGCATCTGAGCCAAGAAGGTTGCTGAGGACGCTTGCACTCTAGTCAAGTGCACTTTGACTATCGCCGGTGGGGTCACACTCACCTGCTCGTAACAGTATTGGATGCAGGCTGAGAGCCGGGACGAGATCCTCTGAGCAGACACTGGGCGACCTTTCATCCCGTCAGCCTCCGCAACAAGCAGCTACGTTGACTTACGGAAAGGCCGTGTCCTGTCAAGACAGAAGGCCAGCGCCCTCTGGATGTCCCGGGCGTGCAATCTGCGTGTCTCTTTGGAATTATGGGGCTTTGGAAAGAAGACCAGTAAGAAAATATCTTGGCCAGTATGAAACTGGGAGACTACCTTGGGCAGGAACACTGGGTGCAGCCACAACCAGACCTTGTCCTTGGTAGAACACCATATAGGGTGAGTCTAACATAAGTGCCCTGATCTCAGACACACTGTGGGTGGATGTAATTGCCACCAGGAACGCAACTTTCCAGGAGAGAAGGAGCCTTGATAGCACAAGATTTAAATCCCAAGGAGGGGCAGGATCCCGGACGTGAGGGTAAAGATGATCCAGACCTTTCAAGAATCAGGCCATCATGTCATGAGCGAAAACTGACCTGTCTTACAACAGAGGGTGGAAAGCCGAAATAGCAGCCAGGTAGACCCTGATTGACGACAGGGACAAGCCCTGAAGTTTGAGGTGCAGAAGATAGTCCAGGATCACTTGCAATGAGGCCTGCTCAGCCCTGACATGCCAATCCAAGGCCCAGCACATGAATCTTTTTCCACTTTGCCTGGTAGGTCGCTCTGGTGGAGGGTTTTCTACTACCCAGCAAGACCTGTTGCACCCCAGGTCAAACATTCTTGCTCTTCTGCATTTAGCCACGCAGCAACCACGCTGCCAAGTTCAATGCTTCCACGCTCGGGTGCAGGAGACTGCCGTGGTTCTGGGACAGCAGGTCCTGCCAGAGAGTGAGTCGCAGCAGCGCAACTACCAAAAGGTACCGAACCAGTGCAGGCGAGGCCACTCGGGCGCTATCAGGACAACCCTCACCCTGTCCTGTTTGATCTTCTCAAGGATTCTGTGGATCAACGGCACAGGCAGAAGGGCTCCCGACCACGGAAGCAGGAAAGCATCTGACAGGGAAGCCCTCTCCATCCCCCGGAGCAAACAGAACACTTGGCATTTCCTGTTCTGGCAGGACACGAACAAGTCCACCTGGGGAGTTCCCCACTTTCGGACGATCATACTGGCCCCCTCTGGATGGAGCGACCACTCGGGGCGAGATGAGAAGGTCCTGCTGAGGCAATCTGCTAGCACATTCTTGGTCCCAGGCAGGTGCGCGGCTATCACATGAATGGTATGCCACACAGACGTCCCAAAGGTGGAGAGCTTCTTGGCAAAGGGCTGACAACCTGGCTCCGCCGTTTCTGTTGATATAATACATCGCTGTGGTATTGTCCATGAGGACCTGCACCACCTTGCCCCTCAGGTGGGGCAAGAAAGCCTGGCATGCCAGATGAACCACTCTGAGCTCCCTGATGTTGATGTGGAGAGCCAGATCGTCCCGC